ACTCATGGCCCACATGTACAGAAGAGCGAGTGAAGGGAGCGATGTTGCAGCAGTACCACTCATGGTCCATATGTAGAGAAGAGCGAGTGAAGGGAGAGATGTTGCAGCAGTACCACTCATGGCCCACATGCAGAGAAGAGCGAGTGAAAGGAGAGATGTTGCAGCAGTACCACTCATGGTCCATATGTAGAGAAGAGCGAGTGAAGGGAGCGATGTTGCAGCAGTACCACTCATGGCCCACAGGCAGAGAAGAACGAGTGAAGGGAGAGATGTTGCAGCAGTACCACTCATGGCCCACAGGCAGAGAAGAGCGAGTGAAGGGAGAGATGTTGCAGCAGTACCACTCATGGCCCACATGCAGAGAAGAGCGAGTGAAGGGAGAGATGTTGCAGCAGTACCACTCATGGCCCACAGGCAGAGAAGAGCGAGTGAAGGGAGAGATGTTGCAGCAGTACCACTCATGGCCCACATGCAGAGAAGAGCGAGTGAAAGGAGAGATGTTGCAGCAGTACCACTCATGGCCCACAGGCAGAGAAGAGCGAGTGAAGAGAGAGATGTTGCAGCAGTACCACTCATGGCCCACATGCAGAGAAGAGCGAGTGAAGGGAGAGATGTTGCAGCAGTACCACTCATGGCCCACATGCACAGAAGAGCGAGTGAAGAGAGAGATGTTGCAGCAGTACCACTCATGGCCCACATGCAGAGAAGAGCGAGTGAAAGGAGAGATGTTGCAGCAGTACCACTCATGGCCCACAGGCAGAGAAGAGCGAGTGAAGGGAGAGATGTTGCAGCAGTACCACTCATGGCCCACATGCAGAGAAGAGCGAGTGAAGGGAGAGATGTTGCAGCAGTACCACTCATGGCCCACAGGCAGAGAAGAGCGAGTGAAGGGAGAGATGTTGCAGCAGTACCACTCATGGCCCACATGCAGAGAAGAGCGAGTGAAGGGAGAGATGTTGCAGCAGTACCACTCATGGCCCACAGGCAGAGAAGAGCGAGTGAAGGGAGAGATGTTGCAGCAGTACCACTCATGGCCCACATGCAGAGAAGAGCGAGTGAAAGGAGAGATGTTGCAGCAGTACCACTCATGGCCCACAGGCAGAGAAGAGCGAGTGAAGAGAGAGATGTTGCAGCAGTACCACTCATGGCCCACATGCAGAGAAGAGCGAGTGAAGGGAGATATGTTGCAGCAGTACCACTCATGGCCCACATGCAGAGAAGAGCGAGTGAAGGGAGAGATGTTGCAGCAGTACCACTCATGGCCCACATGCGCGTCTGCTGAGCTGCCTGACAGTCAACCTTGCAGGTTTGCTCCGACTGACCACGATCAGTAGTATGTCTTTGCTGTACAAACACACAGACCCATGGTGTGACAAATCAGACCCTCCGTTTTCTTGTTGTGAATATTGACTTCCTGGCCTCCGATCTTGAAGGCTGAAATCGCGTAGCCGTAGTAAACGGTGTCCGTTATCTTGGAGATTTATATCTATTGGAGTCTGGTGCAGTGTTTTGCAGTGGTACAGAATCCGCCCCAATCTGCCTGGTCACTGTAGGAGTATGTACCTTCCGAAGCACAGCTCACCGTGATCACGGCTCCAAGTAGTAGCAGAAGCTTCATTGCTCTAGAACTAAGAGAAATGGGGTTAAAACTTCGATTGAGCTATGTTGCAAAACATGGAAAGTTACAATTGTTCTTATCAGTACCTGGCTTTGGTTTCTGTTAACCAGAAAATGTCGTTTATCCGCGCTTCATGTACTAGTATATTGTTTGAAAACTGTTAAACAGCGAATAGATGAAATAGACATAAGCTAGGAACCGACCGGATATCCGGCTATATATCCGGATCCGGCCGGATATCCGGCTTCAATATCCGGTTCCGGCTCCGGTTTCAAAAATTTTGTGAGGTGCCGACTTTGAAAAACCGAAAAAATATTTTCGGCTAATAATGAACAGAGTAGCATGAAATGCGGAAAAAAGTGGTTTTCAGAAAAACCCCCTGTCCCCCCCCCCCTTCCTTCACCCCTGTCAAAGCCAATTAAAAAACTGCTTGATCAGACACGACAGTTGCGCCCAATCGATATATTGAAATCCCTCCAATTATAATAAAAGTAAACTTTATTCAATAAAAAATCGTACGATCATAACGGTGGACGCAAAGCTACGAAGAATTAAGAGTTACCCTAGCACAAACTCACAAAGTGAGTTATCGAGGATAATATCAGTAAACGACCGGGGGTAGGATTTGGCCGGGGCCGGGGCCGGGAATGTCCAAATTTTGCCGGGGCCGGGAATTGGCCGTTCTGGAATTTGGCCGGGGCCGGTGCCGGGGCCGGGGCCGTGAATTTAATTAATCCACGGCCAAGTTAGAACTTTTCAGGACTTAGGATCTGAATTTATTTTTACATGACAATATAATGTTCGTATCAATTGAATAGTTTAGAAGGTAATTAGATTTCATATATATTTTGGTAAAATAATTTTGTTCAGCTGAAACAGTAAATAAAAGTTGGCACTCTGGACATCATCCTTTCAAAATTGAAAATCCATTTTAAGATTTATATGAAAGTTTTAGGCCGATTTCGATCAAAAATTCCCGGCCAAATTCCCGGCAAAAATTGAAAATCGGCCGGGGCCGGGGCCGGGAAGAAATAGCTCCCCCGGCGCCGGGATTTTACGGCGCCGGGAATCCCGGTCGATTACTGGATAATATGCGATTGTTCAGGTATATTATGCATTCTTTAGAGCGGACTAATACTATACAGGGAATACAGTTTCGTCCGAACTTCATTTATATGAAGTTCGGATGATTTTGCACATTTATTTATAATGTAATTTTACTCCCTCCAAACGTCCAAACCGAATGTCAAGTACAAATTTTTACATCTGAATCTGACATGGCGAATCAGATCACGTCACTCATGATTGGGAACCTGTTAATGGCCTGATAAGGTGTGGGAAACGGGCGCAACTGTCTGTAGGCATTTAGAATACACTTGTCCTAAATAACGGGAGCATTACGTTGGTCGTTGAATCAAGTGATTGGGTTGGCACTAGATCCCCACTATGGGAATCGTGCAGAAAGCCCAATTACGGTATCCTAGCACCCTGTCACATGATTAGCGATTAGGTAATCATTGATTACCCAATCAAATCTAGAACCTTCTACTATACTACATTCAAATTCGTTGTTTTGCGATTCAATGCGGCAAAAAAGTGGTAAATAGTGGCTATTCTTTAAAAATTTCAAAGATTGTACTAGCCCAAAATATTGAAAGTGAAAATGTTCAAAAAATGTATTAAAATTAGTTCATCATAATTTTTACGTAATTATAAACATTTTTTATCAGAATAAATTTTTTGAAATATTTGAAAAAAATTGACTACGTAATTATTTAATTAATTAATTAAACAATTTCTTTATTAAAAAGTTGTAAAAGAAAAAGTCGTTTTTCTTTGTTTTCTATCCACACTGCTTTAAACTGGAATCTTCTAAAAGATATTATAAAGAAGTTGACTTATTTGCGGAAACTCAATGTGGTAAAAAGGTGGTAAACAAGACGTGGTAATTGTGGATTTTGCTGACGTCAGAAATTTTGGGAACTCTCTGGAATGATTCCAGGGACCTGTCCGCGACAAATCGCGCATTTTCCTTTAAATCTGAGGGCCAAATTCGCGTATTTTCCTTCAAATCTGCGGGCCGAATATCGCGTTTTTTATAGGTATAAGAAAACAATCACATCCACAGTCTTCCGAATGCAGGTGCGGACTTCGAAAACCGAAAATAATTTTTCGGCTCATAATGATCAGGATAGCATGAAACATGGAAAAAAATTGTAAATTTTTTCCCCAAAAAATGTTGGAAACCTAAATAAAAAAGTTTACCCTTTTTGGCCCCTTGCCCCCAAAGAGAAAATATGAAGTACAAGCAGTGTAACTGATCGTAATATGCACATGAAATTACTAAGATAGAAAATCGTAAAAAAGTTACGCTGTCGATGCGTAAATCGGAAAATCGACGATAAATGTAGGAGTAACTCGAAAAATTTTGAGTTATTTCCGCCACTTAAAAAACATTTGCATGTACAATGTCAACCTTCAATAATTTAGTCGAGCTTTGAGACTGGAGTGGTAAGAGATTCGTTTTGGTTTAAAAAGAAAGGTTGAACAAATTGAGATAACTGTACAGAACGTGCTCTTATTGGTCTATGACAACCATGATCACGTGACCCTATATCTTCCTTTGTATTGGATGGGCACCAGCCACTAGGACCAGAGCAACATTAAATTTGAGATGGGACCTTAATTTTGATGATTCTGGGCTAAAGACCATTTCATGGAAGACTTAAGATGCAGAAAATGGACTTTGTAGAATCTGGCCGACGTCCAGACGGGACGCCTCAGTTGAATTACCCAATATCTTGGTAATGATGTGTTCATCCAATTGGTAAAATATGACCATTCATGATAGCGGGCCTTTAATTTAGGTTTAATCCTGTGTAATCCTGTCATAATGACTTTTACTTGTGTTTGAGACGAAAGTTATTAGTTAATTTAATTTGCTAATGGTTAACGGGGAGCCAGAGGTAGGCAGACAAAATGTAAGAACAAGGACAAAAATGATAAATAGCCGGACACAAACAATAAATAAAAATTCCTACAAGGAATTTTCGCCAAGATGTAGAGTTTAGAGAAGACTAAATAATTACTGACAACAACGAGTTGAGCCATATTACGAACAGCTTCTCCGATGATCCAGCTAAAAAACCGATTTTAAGATTCGGCATTTCCCGCGGTCGAAATGCCGGGAATGACAACAATCTAAACCCCTGAATGTACGACTATTCAGCTTATGGGCAGAGGTTGTTTAGTCACGCATATGAAATTAGAATAGAATAAACCAAAGCTAATAAAGAGAAATGAGTGAATCTAGGTAATTTGATAGATTATTATATTAATGATCCTGCTGTTCCCGACAAGTTTAACATCCTACCTTCTTCAGGAGAAGTTCGATGACGATGAGCTGAATGAGATGCTGGAAGATCTGAAAACATTCAAAGATTTCCAGTGAACTTCCCGCCGAAAAGAAGTACTACGTATCACTATCATGACGTTATGAACACTTAGCTACCATTGAGTGTCTAAGAATATGTCAGATGTTGAATTTACTGAAAGAGGAAGGAGGTACATGACATATAAGAGTATTTTCTGTCTGTACTCGAAAAGAACGATTATTTGTTTTTATCTATTTTAATATTTTATGATGATTTATTCTGTGGAATTTGGACAAGACAGATGATGGTTTATTTCAGACTATATATTTCCCCCTACCCTCTTCCTTGACTTACAAACATTGAGTCGTGACCGGAATTTCAGTCCGAATTAAGAAGCTAAGTTTTGCTCGAATAATGATCAAAATCTTAAACAGTTAAATTGTGCTTCATCAGCTTCAAAACGATATAATAGACTGGTATGCTATTACATATTGTGGAAATTACTGAGTTTATATTATATGCTTCAAACCAGAGCAGAGAGCTTCTCTCTGTAGATGATGGCTTAAGTTTGAAATTCAAGGATATTTTCTTTAATTCGTGATATTCATTTGATATGAAATTGATCGTTCTCAAAGGTAGATGTTTGGTAATGTTATGTCGGCGGTTAGTTACGACAAAACTGAGTAAGAGGATCAAGCAACTGTCTCGGACCCGTATCACATTTTCCTATGACGTAAGTTCCTATAATAATATTAATATAAAGTTAGATTACTTATAAATCATAACATTAATATGTTTAAACTCGTTGTTTTTTCCTCTGATAGACACGCCATTATTGAGACTCATTTTGATAATCACTGATTTAACGAGTTTCTTCTATGCAGTTGACTCAGTTAGAAGCAGAATATGAGGTTAATATTAATAATTAATGAAATCAGAAAGTTTAATATCAACATTATCCAATATTATATAATATTTTTTCAGCGGGATCTCGAAGTTCTGCGGCCGTTTAACAAGTTTCTGGTCAAAATAAACTTCCCTGCTGATCTTGCCAACATCTTCCCTGCCCAGCTCAAAGATCTTCTTCAACACAAACACGGCCTAGCCAACGCTGCCCTCATAAATTACGAAGAATCAGTGGGTTACGTTAACTTTGTTAACGAAGAATCCAAAGTTGACGCTGTCAACTCAAAAACAGACGATACATTTCCATTCCAATACTCAGTTGAAGACTATGATCATGTCAAACATATGAGAGGTGGGCGAGGAGATCAGCCTCCATTTGCAGGTACAATCGGAGCTGCATACCGTCCGAGTGTACATCCTATTGGAAGTATGATGATGCGATTCCTCCAATACGGTCATATTACCGGAACTCAAATAATTCCCTGTCCCTACGATTCAGATCGAGCGTTTTTCTACTGTAATTATTACCGTTTTAAAGAAAGTGATGCTGCCAGTGAAGCCTTGTCAACAATCCCGGGACACGCTATTTCACAGCATTCAGATGCTGAGGATGTGCTAGTGTGGCGGAACATGGACGAAGATGTCCGCAGTTACGGACAACGCGTTAATGTGCAATGTCATCACGAGTTCTCGGACGATTTACTGGCCGAGATTCTGGAATATCTGAAACATTACGGTGAAATTGAGAGTATACACCTAAAGGTGCCGTCCGAACTGAACGTCAAGTTCAAGTATTCCCGATCAGTTTTCCAAATGTTCTATGATATAACGTGGTATGGTAGAATTAAAAAGACTCTCGAAAAATCCGGGACAGAGATAGCCGTAAAGGTTGATAGTGTTTCCCACAAGATAAAACAGGCACACTCCATAAAATTCACCTCAGTTCCCAAACACGTAGCAGACGCTCACACGTACATATCAAACCTCCTAGACCTAGCTGTATGTAACCCTGGTGTACTCACCACAAGTCATAACGATAAGACTAAAATAGCGTGGGTTACAATGCCCCATCCATGGTACGTACGGGACGTCAGTTGTAAGGTTCATCAGTTTCTCAGTTCGGGAGATGCCCCTAAAGAGTATGCAGGGTTAGGAGTTGTGGTGAGGAGTCCGTTTTGGCAGAGCGAGTATATGGATAGGGTAGATGAGGACTTACAGAAAGAAAAGAGAAAGAAAAATGAGACTGCTAGTTGACGGTGATGTGGGTTTTTAAATGTGGGGTCTAGGTGTTTGGGACCGTTGATGATAGGTCTTTACTCTTTATGTCAATGGTTATTAATTTTATTGATAAACTCTGATATTGACCTTATTATTTATCGGCATCTATGGTATTCATTTAATTTATTCCCACGAACAAGCTTGTATAATAATTTGATGTTTATGTTTCTACTGCGCAGATTATCTTGCATCTTGGCATATTTGCATTCGCTCCTTATATGCCTGAATTTGCATCGAGCACTGTATTCAATTTTACCAGGTAACTTGGCTATTTATAATTTTGCAAATTGGAGATTTTAAAGTTTACAGTTTTGGCAGGCAAATTTTTATAAATTATCGTATTCCTATTGTATTTCTTTATCAGCTAAACACAGGATATAAAATACTCGCACCCGTTTGGAATGCAATAACCAAAATCAAAATTATTCCCTCGGAAGTTTATTTTACATATTATTATAATCAATACTTAAATTTATTGCAAAGTATGAATCTTGATCTAACCATTTACCTCAGGAATATAAGTCTGGCCTGTATCTTGACTAACCTCTTAACCATGTCTCGTTGTAACAGAAGAATACTACAGCGGTCACCTTCTTTATGTAGCATACGAAGACTGTCCTCAGCTGCAAATACAAATACCAAGATTTTTTACAACGTAAGATTTATGTTAACCTGTATTATGCTATCTGCTTCTTCAACTCAGTAGTTCAATTTAATTTTTATACTTGTCCAGCATAAACTATGATTTACTGATCATATCAGATTTTAAATTGTGTTTTTTTCAGGACGATCTAGACGTGTTCAGACCGTTCAACAACATTGTAAAACTTAAGTTCGACTCTTCCACTTCGTCACTCAATTCTGAAACCGGATACATGGATCAATCTCCTAAATTGATCTCTGAACGACTATCAACATACGGTTCTGTCAATGGTCAGTTCATTTGTGATCGTGGCAAAACAGGCTACTTTAACTTCGCCAGCCGTGCAGCAAAAGAAGACGCACTAAAAGCGTCGCCACGAGACACCATGTCTTTCTACGAAATGGAAGACTACACAGTGGGACAGAGTCGTGACAAACACGAACTACGGCCCTTCAGATACGTGGTGTGCGCGGCATATCGGCCCAGCATCCACTCAACCAGCAGAATCATCAGATATCTGGACAAGTTTGGGACAAATGCCGGCAGAGAGCTGGTCCACTGTCCGTACGATCCGGACAGGTTGTTCATGTATCTTGCTTACACTGATAAGAGAGTGCTGTCAGACCCGGGTATGAGTGGTAGGAACAGCAACATCAAGGGGGGCGATGTGGCCCGGGATTATCAGGAGATGGGGTCTGGTGTACTTTGTAACGATGTGTTCTTGTTTCCGTTTACTGGCCATAAAGTTAGAATGTATCGGACTAACGTGGATGTTTTGACACGTGGTGTCAGTTTGTCTGTACTCAGGGAATATTTGTCTGAAAAGTACGGTGATGTTAGTAGAGTTAAGAATGTTCGGGAGTGCGGGGAAGGGATACATTACGATGTTTCATTCAAAGATAAGTACTTTGCATACAGGATTCTGTATCAGAAAACTCATTATGGCCGAATTATCGAAACTATACCAAGTACATCAGATCAGATTTATATCAGCCAACCACAAGCTCATAAAGAAGTATGGATGCAACATTCTTTGAGACTTTATCAAGTTCCTGAGATTCCTGATGAACATGTTTTTAGTTATCTTGACGATTTCTTGGACCGCTTGGGTTGCAATCCAGGGTATTGTGGCTGTGGCCCGTAAGCAGGGTGCAAAATCGATCTTCTATGAGCTGTATTTCGCTAATCCTTGGCACACTTTTGATGTGTACCATCGTATCATGCAGTCAAAAGTGAATGGTTTTGATCATGGATTTTTTTGCAGTGTTAATAAAGGTTGGAATGATGGAAAGAATTTTTATGAGGATGTTAAAGAATACTTAGTTTGAATTACTTCCGCTTTGACACAAAACGATGAATTATGTTTTGTTTATCTTGTGTTTTAGAATATTTAAAAGAATCGTTAACTCAGCTATGAAAATATTCTAAAATAATTCAACGATTAATTCAACTCAAGATATAACTTTAAATTATTAAACTCTTAAATTATTTTAATCACTGCTTAAATAAAACAGCTCTGCAGATGATTTAAAGTCCTCCCCTCATAAACTCCATCTACAAAAAAAAGCTGGTTGGTAACTGAATGGCTCTGTATGGCTCTCACCTTACGTCTCACTGAACGAACTGTGTTCCCTAGTTACTGTTGCAAGCGCTTCCTCAGACGCCAGTTCTTCTACAATGTGCGTGGTTTCTATATTTTGTAATTCCTTCGTTGCTTTTTGTTTTGTTGGAGATAGGAGATCACACTACCAGTTGTGTCTTGGAATTATGAACTCAATCTTGCAAAACAATTGTTTATAAGTTACAACACAACAATTGCTTTTAAAACCTATTCATTTTCAGGATGATCTGAAAATATTCCGGCCATTCAACAATACTGTCGAGGTGAAATTAAAGAACTCCGCCGCTCTGAGCACTTCAGAAGATGTTGAACAAACATCCGACTTCATTAACAAACAGCTATCAACTTGTGGTTCTGTCAATGGACACTGTATTCTCAGGGAACGTAAAACTGGTTATTTCAATTTTTCTAGTCCTCATGAAAAAGTGGAAGCTCTAAAAACGTTCAGAAAAGGTGATCAATCCCTACCTTTTTCAGAGATACGAAACTTTGAATTCGGCCGTTATAATTATCACCGTTATCATAGACCCTTTAGGTATTTAATGATTGCAGCCTACCGGCCTAGCATCCACTCATCTTGTAGAATACTCAAATATTTAGAACAATTTGGAATTAGCAATGGCAGGGAAGTCGCCCACTGTCCATACGATGAAGACAGACGATTCTTGTACTTTTCATATCGTCAGAGAAGTAGCCTGACTCATCCAAGCATTTCTCATAGAAACTGTTTCATTAAGGGCAGTGAAGTTTGTAAGAAGATATAAGGTTGGAAACAGATGAAACAAGTAATGATGTGTACCTTTATCCTTTTACTGAACATGATGAGAGTAGATACAAGAAAATGATACTTGTCCGTGCGGAAAATACTCGTTTTACCGGTCGAGTTAAAAACTATTTTGATCTCAAGTATGATAAAATGGTGGAGACGGTAGAGAAGATCGGCAGCGATGACCACGGTCTCAGATTCTGGTCACATTCCGTGACAGTTACCCCGTTTACAGAATGTTTTACCCTAAAACTCCATTCGGCCAAGTTTGTGAAACTTTTCCAGATACTCCCGATCAGCTCTATATCACCACACCAAACCTACCTAAAAGCATATGGAAGCACAACTACCTGCGTTTATTCAACGTTCCTCCTATCACCGAGGGAGAAGATGTTCTAGAGTTTTTCAATGACTTTCTGGACAGAAACAAATGTAATCCGGGGATTGTTGCCGTGTCTCAATCCGCTGCATCGTACTTTTCCCTGAATCTCCGGAACAGAATCCGGGATAGTCCGGAAATGCTTAACTCAAAACAGCTGACTGACACATATTATGAAATTTATTTCGCTAATCCTTGGCACGCTGTGGATGTGTGCCAGCGACTCATACTGTTGAAGGAAGATGGTGGACACGATTTTCACTGTGCTGTTGATTTTTCTTTGTATAGTTCTGTTAAGAAGTATTTGAATGTGTAGGGGCAATGAATTTAGTGGTAGGAAAGGGAGCAAGTGGAGTTTTATAGTGACCCTAATGGTGGATCCCTTGTTTTCTTTTGTGCGATCTGTTTTTAATTCAAATTATATTTAATTTTTGATGTTTGTATCTTGTTGTAGGTAATTTATTTTTACTATTAGTTCAGATGTATCCTTCAAACTCCTCAGAGTTTGTTACATTTTCTGCAATCTTTCCAACATAACATAAACATAATATGATGAAACATATTTTGAAAACCGCCAACAAAGTCGTTTATCATACATCACCCTCAAACAGTATTTTGCTGAATGAATAGAAAATATGATCTCATTGGGTACACAGACGGACTTGAACTTTGAGTTGATCCTGAACTTTATCTCTAATGACCTGCCCAGACTGGTCAGCTACGATCTGGTGCCCTTGTTGCTCAAGGTCAGTTTTTAATATTATCATGTTGGTGATTTGAGTTAAAGAAGGATCTTTAACATTAACTTTTTGTCACTTCTAATTCTGCACGTTGCAGATTTGTCAATCATGACGCCGCTATAATACTCTCCTCACGATCAAATATTTCCTGTTCTGTTCTTAGACTCCTAGGATAACTGTATATATTATAATAATAATTCTCAAATGAACATCTTTAACCCTCTCACTCTTTCACTTCAGATAATGACAGATCCCTGCAAGGATTCCAGTGGTGATCTCAACAAGTCTCTACGGCGGAAAGTGGAGGAGCTGATCCGGGATATCGTGGAGAAGAGCCTACCCAAATCACAAACCCTGGAAATAAACAGGGAGGTCACGAGGCCTGGCAGGGAGGTCACGAGGCCTGGCAGGGAGGTCACGAGGCCTGGCAGGGAAGTCACGAGGCCTGGGTACGCTCCTCTTCCAAAACGGAGGAGAACCAACACGGTACGAGCCTTTTAAATCAATAATGACTTGTCTGGAACTTTCGCAAATTTCGTCTAAGAACTGTCTAAAAATAGATTTCCAAAATTATAATTATTTCGATGAATGATCCTCCAATGAACATGGGAATTATATCTCAACATGACCACGCTTTAGTCGAGATCACTTAAACCCAGGTAGCGGCCCAACAGAACAGCTCAGTAACCTTGATCCACAAGCCGGAGTGCCCGGTGTGCGGGGAGGCATTTGAGAGGTATCCTGATGTTGTCCAGCACCTGCTCACTCACAGAGAAACTGTTTTCAGAGCTATCAACTGTAATCTCTGCAACTTCTTTACCTTTGAGCCACGGGGTAAGCTGTTTTGTATGATGTTTCTGTTTTAAAGTTTAAAAAGGGGGGCTAACTCGGTCGGAAATGGATAAAAGTTACAAAAGAGACAATAATAATTATAAACTTACTGCCAAACTACCAGGATCAGTTTCTGCTGATTGTTGACAAGTGCTGTTTAACTAAGACTTTATAAGCAACATATTAAAAGTCCGTGTTTTAACTTTTAACTCACGGCGGAATTCTTCCTTTAATGAAAAGAAACTAAAGTGGTTAATTAAAATCCGTTTTCAGCGCTGGCTGGTCACATGAAAGACACCCATCTACTAGGTAAAGGAGCTCCAATAAGTTTACGCTGTAAGATTTGTCAGGAAGCGTTCTACAGTGAATCTGCTCTCAAAAAGGTTTGTAGTTTTCATATCATATTATTATCACGTCGTGATTATTCCTCTCGTTAATACCGCCTATATTGAAATACCTGATACCTGATCCCTGATACCTGATACCTGATCCCTGATACCTGATCCCTGATCCCTGATACCTGATCCCTGATACCTGATACCTGATACCTGATACCTGATACCTGATACCTGATACCTGATACCTGATACCTGATACCTGATACCTGATCTCTGATCCCTGATACCTGATCTCTGATCTCTGATCCCTGATCCCTGATCTCTGATCTCTGATACCTGATACCTGATCTCTGATCTCTGATTTCTGATACCTGATCCCTGATCCCTGATCTCTGATCCCTGATCCCTGATCCCTGATACCTGATCCCTGATCCCTGATACCTGATCTCTGATACCTGATCTCTGATCCCTGATACCTGATCCCTGATCCCTGATCTCTGATCCCTGAACCCTGATCCCTGATCCCTGATACCTGATACCTGATACCTGATCCCTGATCCCTGATCCCTGATCCCTGATCCCTGATCCCTGATCTCTGATCATGTCAGTCATTTGCTGTCGTTTTAAAACAAATCATTAATAATTGTACAATTACAAAGTTTGATAAAACAATTTAACATGATGTAACATGTCATAATTACAGCACAAGAGATCGTTCCACAGAGGCAGCGACATCCCCAAATGCCCGAGATGTAACGTCCTCTTCGAGTTCTCCAGTCAGCTAGTAACCCACCTGAGATTCTCTGCTACATGTGGGGGAGACACCAAACCTCCTGACCCGGAAACCACTAGATACTTGAAGCTCCCTCCCACACGTACTGCTACACGTACTGCTGCTGCCACCAGTCACCGACCCTCCTCCGCTACTCCTAACATCGCCACCCCACAATCAGCTACGCTGGTGTCGGGGCAGGGCAGCACTAATACAGCTAACATGGTGGGAAATGCTCTGTTGAGTGCACTAACTTTAGAAACGGGTGCTAGAGGTGCTGGGGGCATTGCTGCTGATTCCTCCATTGTCACTGCCTCTCAAACCAGTCAGATTCTGGTAAGTACTAAGTAGGGAGGGGTTGTCAGACTGACAATGTATACACTATACATCTCACTGAGCTTTTGTTTTTTATTAATTTTATAGTTAAAAGTCTCATATCATATGCTACCTAAGTTAACTTTCATTGATATATCATACGAGGTTAGGCAGGGTACAGACTACAGTTAGTAGTAAAAGTTAAACGTTTTGTTTCATTCAAGGTTTATTAATAACTTATGAAATTTAACTTCGTCGTGTTGTAAAAATCCGTTGTAAGAAATTTAAATTTTTTTCAAGGGTATTTAAGTCTTATTTTGGAGTTTATTATAACGCTTTCGCAGGGACCACAAAATATGTCTGACAATTTAATTATGGATCCAACGACGGGTGTGCCAATACCAGTGGCTCAGTTTGTGGAAAAGCGACAAGCGGAGATAGCCAACGGCGTGGAAATCATGAATACTACCGCTCATACAAGTAAAGGATATAAGTGTTCTGTATGCAACAGATCTTTCACGTCTCTGTCGATGTTGGTGCACCATAATGAAAAGGTTAGCTAATTTCCAAATTGTTTGTCGACTCTTAAATACTCTAAGTAAGAACTCTAAACAAACATTTAACCAATAAGATGTGCTTCTTATTGCTATAATTCTTCCTCGTCAGTTCTCATCTGCTAGTATGTTGATTTAAAGAGTTGGGGGTTTTGTTTAGGACCATTGGGGGCTTTGAGAAATATTTAAAGTTGTCATTTTGCTAGGGCCCAAATAGTCCTGAAATGAAGGGCTCGTGTTTGGTTCCATGCAGTCAGAGGTAAATTATGCATTTTGAGTCCTGAAATGCACCAAACGCTCCTTTAGATATGATGTTGATAGAATTAAGTTGACAATCAATAGTAAAAAATTAATTGCAGAATGTGATAACAAGGCAACTTGTACAAATAAAGTTAAAAAGAAAGTATGGTCCCGGGTCCGAAAAATGCTCCCAAAATATGCATTCAATCAATGATCATCTTTAAAACAGCTCAGTAAATATAGTATATACCCTTCCATTATGTCTGTATACACTCAATGGTTTAAGACTTCAGTCAATTTAAAGTATGAACTCTAGCTCTTGTACGGGTTCCAGTGCCTTTAAGTCCTTGGAGGATGAGGATGATGAGGAGGCAGAAAAGGATGAGGAGGAAACGGAGGATATTTAGGGAAATGGTTAACGCTTTCAGGCAGTGAGCTTCAATTGGGCTCCGCCCACCTATATTATACTTAGTGTATATCATATTATGTAGTATACGTACGTAATGTTAGACTAAATTTGTGTCACTAACGAGATAAGGCACAGGGATACCATCATTGTTGAAACGTGGTACATCCGGAGATGAATTATACTAAACGATAAAATACATAGTTCTTTCGAAAAACAAACCTTGAACAGACTCCTTATAATAATGTATTGATCGTGAATATAGGGTCAGTTTCTGGTAATTGGAAAGCCAATTAGTGCAGAGGGTGTAAACTGTAATTGGGCTGATTGGTGTCCTTAATGGTGTGATATCTGTGTCTCCTATATCCTAATTACCCCCCTCCTTTCCCCTAATTAGGATGTGCGAGACGTTTTTTTATAAGCAGGCGGATCAAAAGAAATGGCAGATTCATAATACTTGAGTGGTAGGGGAAGAAAAGGATTTTTCTTATTATAAGTGATTATTGATCAATATCGTAGTGCCAAGTCGAACAATCGATTGTATAAAGCGGATCAAATGGAATGAAAAATTGGGATTAAAAGGCAGATTTCCAATACTTGAGTGGTGGGAATTTCATATTATATAAAGATCAAGCTGCTACTAAGTTAGTAAGTTGTCAGAGGCCACGATCGTCAGGACATGAAGTCAAGCAAATGATAGATTCAGTGCTGTGTAGTATTTATCAAGTCATGGGTGCAGTAATTATTCGGCATGCGCAACACAAGCGGTGGAAACTGCAATATTATGTATGATATATCATAAATATACATAAATACATAATCACTGAGTAACGATGATCACCTTACGTTATTAACTAGTAAATATCAATTAGTGACCGTCACCTAGAAACTATCACTTAGTAACCGTGACCTAGTAACCGTCACCTAGTAACTATCACCTAGTAGTAACCGTCACCTAGTAACCATCACCTAGTAACTGTCACCTAGTAACTATCACTTAGTAACCGTCTCCTAGTAACTATCACCTAGTAATCGTCACCTAGTAACTATCACCTAGTAACCGTCACCTAGTAACTATCACTTAATAACCGTCACCTAGTAACTATCACCTAGTAGTAACCGTAACCTAGTAACTATCACCTAGTAACCGTCACCTAGTAACTATCACCTAGTAACCGTCACCTAGTAATGCTACTCTTCCTTGCAGGCACATCTCCGGAAGAAAACTCTCTCCTGTACACAATGTCACCTCCTCTTCGCCACCTTCCCTGAACTTGACTCACACTTTCACA